CCCGGCCCCGAGGGGGAGCCCGCCACCAAGAGCGGCGCGTCTTTGTGGATATAAAAACTCGAGAAGTGGAAAAAAAGGGGTTCTCCATCATGGGGATCGTGCAGTTGACCTCGCCTTCGTGGCCGTAGGCGAACTCGAGCGGCTTGCGGGTCTCGCTGCATTCGGGGAACGGGATCCAGATGAGCTGGTGATTCGCGTCTTCGAGGTGTTCGCCCGTGTCTCTGATATTCTCTGCGTCAGTGCGTCCATTCCCTACCGACGGAGCCCCGGGGGGGGGGGGGATTCGTCCTCAGAGAACCAGGTTTCTTGATTCACCGGAGCGACTGAGGAAGGAGAAAAGCACTCACGAGCTGCGGTTCATGCACTCGACCTGGATAGGAGCACCATAATGATACGAAGGCAGGCTGTCGTCAATGCCTGCGGCGGCGGCGAGCTGGATGAGGCCAAGGCCAAGGCCGAGCAGATGCGTTAACACGGCCATTGCGAGCGATCTAATAAAGGCGCGCGCTCAGTGGCTGACCGTCAGAATGAGGTACTTTTATGGTATCAACCTAGGCATATCTTTGGGGCGCGACGCGAAAATGGTCCCTTTTGGCATCCCTCAATTGTTCGGATACGAACAACTGGTCGTATGGCGAATTCCCAAGCTGATAAGCGTCTTATCAGTGTCATGTGATTATTCAGGGGTCGCTCTCGGCATCACATCCGAGCGGAGCATCGACCACTGTGCAGGCGAGGAGACCATCCCAAGGCACTGGGTCGGCACTGGCATCACATCAAGTAAGGTAGGTCAGGTAGCCGTATGTTTTCTTCATCAAAAAGGTCCCATCGCTTCCTCATTGCTCGTATGCACCTTTGTACGCCACGTATCCTGCCAGAGAGAACACAACAACACCATTCATCCTGATAACCCAACTCCACATGCCCGGGCCGTACTTTCGTTCCCACTTCTTGGTGACCATCTCGTCGCCATCGTGATGAGTGCATGCCGGTGGGGGTATCTCATTTTATACAGACAACGAAATCAAAATCATCTGCTCCTGGCCACACCGTCAAGCCCGACCGATCCAGCCCGCCGTGACGAAAAAGTCAAAAATACGGCCACCCTTGTGTGAGTCCAGTCGGCAGATCTCACGGACCTGCTTCTTCTTAAGCGCGCCATTACCCTTGACCGCGTGGCTCATGATCTGTTCCTTGATCATAATGTATGGCTTGGGCTGCAGTCGCACAATCTCGCAGAGCTTGACTTCTTCGGGCGTCAACAGATGTAGGTCTGGCGCCGACTCTTGAGTGAGAGTCATGGGCGTGATGCCGGCAATAGGTGTTGGCATGGACTTCGGGCGCGTGACGGGGCCTGTGCCGTTGGCAACCACGACGCTGCCGTTTGTCGAGGCAACGTCGCCGTGACCGTTGATTGTGGGTTTTGTCTCACCAGTCTCGCCGTTGACCCCATTTGTCTGTGGCGCCAGACGAATCGACAGCTCGGGCGCCAGGAGCTGAGCTGCACCGCTCGGTGGATCCGGCACGGCGGCGGCAGCCTTGCTACGTTGGACAGACGCCAGACGGTCGCGGTCCATGGAACCCATGGGCACAGCCTTCTGCACGCGTGATGCCTTTTCTTGCTCATATTTCTCGCCGCTTCGAAGGTCGCCAATGCCCATGTTGCGCCAGTCTTGTAGCTGTCCGATGGCTTGTCGGAGGTTGAGCTCATCCATAAGTCCGATGTTGAGCTCCTCGAAATCGTCGTGGTTCATGATCCGTGCAAACGGCTTGGCTTTCGTCAGGAGGTCTCTCTCTTCCTTGCTCTTCTTCTTCTCCTGCTTATTGTTCTCCCTATATTCTAGCAGGTTGTGCTCGAAAATGACCTTTTTGCGGTTCACACGTTGTGTGAGTCGTGCATTGTAGATATCCATGACGGTGAGTTTCAGATCCATCTCCGGCTCGATCTGGCCGGTTCGCTCGTTGATACCATCACCTGGATCGAACTGCATGAGTTGCACCGCCTCTTCTGCCTCGTTTGCGTGCTCTGTTTCGAATTCGAGACGACCAGGCATGTATCCTTGAATCTCGTGGCAAGATGGTACTGACGCCGTTGGTTTTGTTTTGGGCTGGAGGGCTGGGGCGTTTTTAGCAGCCTCTTTGCGCTCCTCGATCCTTGCCTTCTTCTTCGCTTGAAAGTCTTCTCTTGAAATCTCGTTGGCCAGTTCCATGTCGTGCGGGCTGCATCTTTTCGGCAGAGGGAACGCCGGCGAGTCGACGTAGACTTTGAGATAATGATCGCGTACTTCGTCCTTGTTACGGAAGCCGCCAATGTGGTCAGCAATGTCGGCCCACGATCCGAGACCGTACGTCTCAGCGCCCTCCAGCATGAGCTGCTCCTCGTCCGCGCCCCAGTCGGCATCAAATATGGGGAAGGAGTTTTGTTCGATGACGCGGAACGGGTGGGTATCCGGTTTGTGGTTGCCGCTTGAGCTGCCTTGAGAGAAGCAACTGACACAGAGATCGTAGTCGGGGCATGCGCTATGCGCGCATCTGATGCGCACCTACGAGGGGCGAGGTCAGTCCAAGATTCGCATGCGGCGCGCCACGCGCCGGGGGCAAGGACTCGGGTTGGCATGAAGACTTACGGTTGATGTGATGTCCACTGAGCAGACATCACAGTGGTATTTGACTCCGCCTTCGCCGCCGCGCGTGGCGGTCTTCTTTCGAATCACGCCCATCGCGCCCTCGTCTCCAGCTATTGTGGATACCTGGGGAGATCCTCACCCAGTCGAGGCAGATGAAGAGGACGGGTCGGAGAGTGGCAGGATGTTGCGCTCGAAGAAAAGTCAAAACTGCGTCGGCGCGTCGCCAGATGGTACTTCGAGAGCTGCTCGGAGGATGGGGTAGAGTCGGATTGGCCCGGCTGATTCAACGTGTCGTCGGAAATGGATTGCCGGCGCGTTGGTTGAGCGGTCCGTCGGAGGCGTTCGCGTCGTGTTCACGCAAGATTTTCGTCACGAGCAGAGAGTTTATTGGGCGCAATCTCTGGGTAGGTCTTTGAAGCAATCGCAATCGATGTTTGGTGGTCTGAAATTGATGAAATCGGTTGGACGTGTTGTGACGATGCTCAATGTCGCGATTCGATGTTGCCCCGGATCGGAAGCTTGATAGTGGAGAAGCCTCGGAGAGCCTCCCTCATTGGTGGGGCCTCAGCAGGTACGGGCGATGACATAATCGAGAGACCCTCGCTGGGTTCGATTCAGTGCACGTGCTTAAAAGCCAGTCAATGGCGTGTATCAAGTATGCAGCCAAGTGCTGCCAGGTGCTGCCAAGTGCGGCGAAGCTCTTTCATTCAGACACGAGATGATCGGTTCACCAGGAGCATGTTTACTACTATGAATGGACATTATCACCGGATGTATTGCATCTCCTCAGATGCGGGCCATCGCCATTGGTTCATGCATTGGGTCGATAAGCACTGAACCACCCACTACTGGGTGCGAAAACTGTCTGTACTAAAATGAATGCATGCCTGTCGAGATAAAAGTTGCCAACCAAGGCGAGTGCATCCTCCAAAGAAAGGACGAATGCGCCGGCCCGAAACCGGGCCGCCAGATGCAAGGCGCGTCGATGGAGGCGACTGCAGCGCGATTTGACAAGACGGCACTAGCTGCTAGTTCGTCATCCGGCGTACCCATCCATTTCTATCCCCGGAATCCCGTATGAAGATGCTGGTGTTTGCTTGCCATGTTCCTGGCCTCGTGTCAAGGGCCAGTCCACACTGCAAGCCAGCAGACTCAATCAGCCTGGAAGAGGGTTGCATACCTACCTAGGCTCGGAGTCCAGCACAGCCTTTGAGCACAATGGCGATTCTTTCGACGAGAGAAACCGCGCATGCTGGAACTTGTACTCGGGTTACTAACACCAATTCCGCAACTTTCCCGACAGCACCAGAATAGTCTCACAGTCCAGACTCGTAGCATGACGCCCCGAGCAACAATCACAAGCGCATAAAATCCCGCCGTCCCCTCAGAAGCTACCCCACCATGTCACCCCTCATCGATCGGTATCATAGCGTAGCGTACTTGCCGTTTTTTCGCCAACTTGCGTGAGGGGCATCATCTCCAACTCTCTGTCCCATTTCTCTGAGGGATCCCCGTCGTTTCAATCCAAATTCCCAAGTCAACTTCAGGACCAAGAACAACCGCCTGTCACAATGCCCGACCACATCCTCGACGACATCTCCCACCGCAGATACAATCCTCTCCGAGGCAATTGGCTGCTGGTCTCACCACACCGGACCAAGCGTCCCTGGCAGTAAGAAGAATCTCCTATCATCACAGACGGTTCAGGAGAGACCACCGACTAAAGCGTCAATCCAGGGGCCAGAAGGAGGAGCCCTCCAAGAACAAGCTCCCCGAGTACGATCCTGCTGTGAGTTCTAGCCTAAAGACTTGTGTAGTGGTCTTCGGCCCATTTATTGACGGCCTGGAAGTGCTACCTGTGCCCTCGCAACGCGCGAGCTGCCGGCGATACCAACCCAGACTACAAGAAGACGCTCATCTTCGTCAACGACTACAGCGCCGTCAAGGAGGAGCAGGCCGAGTACAACCCGCCCGATGCTTCGACCGACCTCGCCTCGTCCTTGCTCCGCGCCGAGTCGGCCACCGGCCGTTGCTATGTCCTCACGTTCTCGCCCAAGCACCACCTCACCCTCGCCGACATGACGCCCGCCGAAATTGTTCCCGTCATTGAGATCTGGACCCAGATCTACGCATCCCACCTCGACCCCGCCAGCGCCCTCGCCAAGCAGGCCGCGCAGTGTTCCCTGCCGGCCCCGGCCCCCGAGGCCACCATCACGCCGCCCAAGGCCCAGCTACGCTACATGCAGATCTTTGAGAACAAGGGCGCCGCCATGGGCTGCTCGCACCGCACCCCCACGGCCAGATCTGGACCACTCGACGACCCCCGAGGAGCCACGCGCCGAGATGGAGCAGATGGCCCAAGTACCGCGCCGCCAACGCCGGCCGCCACCTGCTCGCCGACTACGTCAAGGTCGAGCTGGAAAAGGAGGAGCGCATCGTCTTCCAGAACGAGACCTTCCTCGTCGTCTGCCCCTGGTGGGCCGTCTGGCCGTTCGAGGTCCTCGTCCTGCCGAAGCGCCACGTCCGCGCCCTCGTCGACCTGACGGCCCAGGAGAGGGAGGACTATGCCGAAGCCATCCAGGAGGTCACGAGGCGTTACGACAACTTGTTCGAGACTAACTTCCCTTACAGTACGTGCCGCGCTCATTCTCATTCCCCTTCTTCTGCCGGTTTTGGGGGGCGTTCTATGTAGCCTCAAGAGAAAAATGCTAACAATCATCTCCGTAGGCGCCGGCATCCACCAAGCCCCGCTCGACGCGACCGACGAGGAGGCCGACAACAGCTACCTGCACATGCATTTCTACCCACCCCTGCTGCGGTCCGCGACGGTCCGCAAGTTCCTCGTCGGCTACGAGCTCATGGCTGAGGCGCAGCGCGATATCACCCCCGAGCAGGCCGCGGCACGTCTGCGCAACTGCGGAGGAAAGCTTTATCGCGATCAACTGGAGTAGGCGTAAGGAGTTTGGATGCAAAGAAAGAAAAAAAAGCCCGAAATAGAATAAGTTAATAAATCATTGTGTTTCGTTCCACGTCAATTAATGCTCGCTGCGTCTCCTAGCGTTCTAGTGATGCAATATTCCCTCTTGCTCTTCCTCTTTCGGTGTGCAGCGTGCGCCGAGCGAGCCCCTCCCCCCGCTTGTATTTAACCCCCTATTTAAGGGAGCTGGACATAGTAGCCCCTCTGCATGGGCATCCAGATCATGGCCGTTGTGGCGACGATGAGGGGCGATAAGGAGGGGGCGCCAAACTTAACCGTCTTGAAGAAGAACATCTCGCTGAGGAAGTGGCTGAGCGCGACGACGTAGGTCCAAAGGACGAGGTCGTACATGTGTGCGTGCTCCAGGTGGTAGGCGGCGTACATGCGCACGACGGCGGCGAGGAGGGTCCAGGTCGCGAAGAGGCGGGCGGCGAGGGGCGTGACCTGATCGGTGGCATTGCCGGCGGCGGCGCGGTTCGTGGCGAGCACAAGCTTGTGGACCGAGTCCTCGGGGTCACGCAGGGCGGATTTCGGCGCCAGGCTCGTGTTGGTCACAAACTTGTTGCAATAGATACGGCGGGTGTAGTGGAGAGTCAAGAGACACTGGGCCGAGTTGCCAACGGAGATCAAGGAGACCTAAGAGGGTGGGGGACGGCATTGGTCAACTTGGGTGTCTTGGAATGCTGGGCGAGGAGGGGTAGTCAGGACTGTACGAGTATCATGTAGTAGGGAAGAAGGCCCTGCGAGGAGGGGAGGAGGTCGGCGATGGTGACCATTGCAGTGGCGATTTCGACAAGTGTATTCGAAGGGCGAGCTTGGTGTGAGTTTGAGGGTACGTGCAAGCGCATTCAATAGTAGAAAGGGCAGCCTCTGCTTCTTGTACTTGGGCGGCGTCACAGGCTGAAGACAATCCCTGATTCGGAGATTGGCTGACGGTGAGGTGCAGCAGCGGATCTTTTCGAGCGCCTTGGGTGCTCATGCCAGCTGCCAGGGCAGGGGACCCCCTGAAGCCACTTCCATAGCAGTGTACGGCTGTCAGCAGCTGTCATCTGACGTCAGCTTTTTTGCTTCCCTCTGATGCTGGGGGGAGGGGGGGCAAGGACGCGTTGATTGATTTTCGGTCGGCAGGTGTGCACCTCAACAATTCGGCCGGGCTCCGTC